CCCGGCCGCGGGTCCCCAGGATGCGCTCAGCCGGTCGGGGTGCCCCGTGCTCAGCAAGCGCACGGTGGCCGGGGGCAGCGGCCCTGGGGAGTCATCAGACCTGACGTTAGGGACCGGAGACCACGCAGAAGGAAGCAGACACTTGATGGGACAACGTGCAGGACAGATGTTCCCTGAGGGCTGAAATACACAGGCCCCTTCTGGCATACTCCTTCTCCTCTCTTTTGTCTTTTCCGTCCCCATCCCACCTCACTTTTAATGCTGCTGACCCTTTGTGGTCCCTCGCATACCAATCCATCTTCATCCAGTCACCGTCATCCCCACAGCCCAGCTGGATCGACCTTGCCACTGCTGCACGCACACGCGGTCTCCAGCACCCATCTGCCGTGCAGCTGCTAGGGCAGAGCTGGCACAGCACCTACGCTCTGTCCAGCCCTAAAATCTCTCTGGCTGCGGAGAAGTGCTGGACTAGTCCATCTCCAGAGCAAAGACCCGCTCTCCAGGGAGGACTGTGGATTAGCCTCTTTTTGTACTACACTGCTTCATTTCGTGATCGTTTATGGTAATGTGGATTCCACCTGCTGGAGGAGACTCAGCGAGGGTGCGAGTGCTCCTGTATTCAGGGAGATGGGGCAGCACGGGCAGGGGGATGTCCCTGCATGGGCACAGCTGGCCAACACCGCATGTCATCAGCATGTACTTGTGCAAGTCTACAGTTGAACATCCATGTGCTTGTGAGGGTAACAGTGTGCCCCTGCACAAAGTGCTGCATGTTGCACCCATCAACACGTGTGTGCACGTCTCCAAAGACACCAGGACCCCTGTAAACCTCCCAGCTCCCCTCAGGGCTGCCCAGTGTTCCAACACCTCCCACCCTCTGCAGGGGACACTCCTCTGGGCACTCACGTGTCCAGCCACTGATGTTGGGTGCTGCTGCCTGCGGCGTCGGCCCTGCCCGCCCCCGGGCCGCGGGTCCCCAGAACGCTCTAAGCCGGTCGGGGTGCCCCGTGCTCAGCAAGCGCACGGTGGCCGGGGGCAGCGGGCCTGGGGAGCAAACACAAGTCACTGCCAGGAGCCACGTCTGGGATGCTCCATGCTGCAGGACATGGGTCAGCCCGGCAAGGTCCCAAAGGCTTTGCCCTTGACACCATGGCAGCTGCCTCCGGGGATTGCCTCCTCCCTGGTGCTGTGGGTGGCAGTGGGCAGTGACCTGGGACGTGGGTGGCAAGGCTGCGGGGTCATGAGCAGACTGCCCGTGCTGCATCAGCAGGGCACGAGAACTGGGTGCTGCGTGCGTGGCAGAGCAAGGGAGCAGCCGTCTGCACCAGTATGGCCTCTGACTTGAACCAGGAAGGGAGAGATCTGGTGGAGGGCACCTGGCTGAAGGAGAGCATCATACTCACGTGTGCAGTGGGTGAGGCTGGGGGTGCTGCTGTGGAAGGGCCCCGCTGTGGCCCTCACCGACACGCTGTAGCGGGTGCCGGGGCTCAGGTTCCTGAAGATGTGACTCCTGGCATCCCCACCCAGCACCGTGCGCCCAGCACTGCTGGAGGCTGTGTCACAGACTTCCACCACGTAGCTTTCTGCTCCTCGCCCCGCTGCTGCCCAGGAGGCCTGCAGCGTGGAGGCAGAGGGGCTGCGGAGGGTGAGGTTGGCAGGAGCCAAGGGATCTGGAAAGCAACAGGGGACAGTCAGCCCCCGCGCGCCATCGCTCTCCGCTCAGTGCCATGAGCCTGGTGGTTCCTCGTGCTCTGGCAGTGCCAGAGGCTGGACTCCAGCCCCCAGCTCCCACTGGGTGGTGGACAGCTGGACTCCAGCCCCCTGTTCCCACTGGGCGGTGGACAGTCTGGCCACCAGAGATCCTCCCACAGAGAATCACGGGGACAAATGGGCAGACAGTGAGCATGGCTCTGAGCACAATATCTCCAGGGTTTGCAGCAGGAGGTGGCAGGGGAGATACCCAGAGCGTTTGAGGTGGGTAGGGGGGACTGGTTCTGTGTCAGGGAAGAAGTGAGGACAGAGAGCAGAAAGGCGGGACAACTATGTAGAAGCTAGGGGCACAGCAGGGATGATCTGGGATGGGGAAGGTGTCAGTGGGTGCTCTGCAAGGCTCACAGGGAGGCTTGGGGGCACAGTGGGGTGCTGTGTCCAGCCCAACCCATCAGACTCACGTGTCCATTGTGTGACGTTGGTGGAGGCAGCTTCGAATGAGCCTTTCACGGCAACAACCTGCACGGCAAACTTGCTGCCTGCCTCCAGGTGAGTCCAGGTGATGTTCTGGGCATCTGGACCCAAAGTTTGGACCTGATCCCTGCCCTGGATGCTGAGGCTATACAGAATAACACGGTAGTGGTCTCTCCTGCCAGGGGACTTGTTCCAGCACATGTAAAGCTCTGAGGAGCTGCCTGGGTTGGTAAGGCTCAGGTTCATCGGTGCAGCAGGAACTGTGAGGAAAGACAGACACATGAGTCAGAGAGAGAAAAAAATCCATTTCTGAACATGCAGCCATCTCCGGGGAAGAGTCTTGCTTTCCCCGGGCAGCCAGCAGCAACTGTCCAGCAAGAGCTCTGTGCCCACATGGTACAAGTAGGCTGCAAGAGGCAGGAGATGAGGCCAGCATCACCAGGAACCAGGCCAGGGTGCCCTCCTCTCCTCTCCCTGCGTGCCAGCATTGATCCCCATCCCATTCTGGAGCTCCTCGCAGTGCTCCCACCCAAATCACCCATGGGTGGTATGGATGCTCACCCGTGCAGCCGGTGGTGTTCTTGGGGAGGGAGCGGTAGGGTCCAGCTACTGCCCAGATCCCAACAAGGTAGCAGGTTCCCGGTTCCAGCTGTGCCAGGGTGACGTTGGTGCTGTCCTTCCCTGCTTCCAGGCTTCTTGCTGGTGCAGAAGAGCCCTCCTCCTGCACGCTGAGCAGGTATCCATCCCTCTGCCCAGGAGGGGTCTCCCAGTGCACAGCCAGAGCCCAGGCAGTGCTGACAGGGCTTGCCGACAGGGAAAGTGGAGATAGTGGGGCTGCAGGAGAGGAACAGCGTTACAGAGGGCAAACCTGGGATGTTCAGGACTGACTCTAGCTTGGGAATGAAGCTGGGAGCCGCAGGGCTCTGAGCATCCAACATGCTGTCTACAGGCTGCTGAGAGCAGTGGGTTGCTCCCAGATCAAAGCTGCTCCCTATGTCCCAGGTGATAACTGTGCATCACCACCACAGCCTGAGACCTTCTTGTCCCAGAGTGCTGGGACAGGCTCACAGCATGCTCCACTGAGCTGCTGGGCTCAGGATGAGTGAGGGTCCCAAGAAGAGAGCCAGCATCTTGAGTAGGAGACAGACACAAGTGGGGTTGCAGGGACATGGTCTCAGACGTCTCCAGCAGAACAGCCCTGGGACCCTCCTCTTGGTCCCCAGGCCCTCGCCAGGTCAGAGCCAGGCTGGGTACCAGGGATGGGGATGGATGCAGAGGAGCTGTGTTCCTACCAGTGTAGCCGATGGCAGTCTGAGAGGAGATGCGATGAGGCCCAGCCTGAGAAATGATCTCCACGCGGTATCGGGACCCTGGCACCAGCCCCTCCAGGTCAAGCTGGTTGACTCCACGGGGGACAGACACATTCCTGATGACGGACAGGGACTCAGCCACCGAGAGCTGTACCAAGTGCTCTCTGCCACCGCCTGACTCCACCCAGCTCACATGTAGCTCCTGGGGTCTCCGGCCAGGCTGTACACTCACGTTAGCCAGAGACAGTGGATCTAGGGGGAAACACAGCATGGAGATCCATGAGGTGGTGGAGGAAAGCACCTGGAGAAGCCAGGACACAGCCTGCACCTCTGCACAGGGCTAAAGGAGAAGACCACTTCAGATGGCAGCTGGCTGCCAGCTTTCCTGTTGTCCTGGGGGACGTGCAAGTTGCCCGTGCGTGTCCCCAGGGCACTGCTAGCAGGCAGGTGCTGTACTAAGAGAGCACTCAGCTCCCGGTGGGCTGCTCTGCGCCATGGACAGGGAGCAGCAAGCCTGTACGGGTTTCTGTGGCTCCTCTCTCATGTCTCTCTCTCCCACCCTTCCCAGGCTGGCCTTGAGATCATGAGTGGTCTAGGCAGAAGGTACAGCTCGACTGGGGAAAGCCTGAGCTGGGGAAAAGGGTCTTTTGGGGCCCAGAATCCAGCACACAGCACCTAACTCATGACACATGCTCCGATTCCCGGGGGCAGGGAGCATGTAGGTCCCACCGGAGCCCTCCCTCCACCCAGACGTGTCCCTGTCACTACCAGTCTTGCAGGCAGTGCCAGGATGCCCTGTCCCTGCAGGAGGCTGTGGACACTTCCCACTCACATGTCCACTCGGTGGCAAAGTGTGATGAGGATCTGTATGGGCCAGCGAGGACGGTCACCTTCAGGAAGTACTGAATGCCAGGGGACAGCCCCAGGAACGTGAAGTTGCGGGTGTTTGGCCCCACTGAGATGTTCCTCTGTGCTGCATGGCTCTTGCTGTAGAGCTGGAGGTGGAACTGGTCCACGTCACCAGCAGCCTTGTCCCAGAAGGCAGAGAGTCCCAGCGGGCGCCTGGTGTTGGTGAGGGTCACTCCAGCCGGGGCCAGGGGGTCTGAGAGAGAAGAGACATCCAGGCAGTGAGAGGCAGCCGCGGTGGGAGTGGGAGCCTGCACGCGCTTGTCCCAGGCCCCCCCCACCGCCTGTCCCTGGTGGGCTCAGGCCAGAAATCAGCCCTGGCTTATCAAACCCCAGAACAACCTGAGCTTCTGCTGCGCTGCAGACATGGGAGCGGGTCCCCACCTTTCCTGCTGGGTGACATTTGGAAATGTTTTCTGTTCAGTGATGGGTTTCTCCTCCACTGAAGACCCTTTTACTTCCAACCTGGCTAAACGTAGCTCTCGCTGTCCTTCCACTCTTTGTCTGTCTACGCATAGCTGACCCTGGTTCCCCTGCCTCCCCATACATGGTCCACTCTCTGCCTTGCTTCCATGCTGTGAGCTTTCTGCTCTCGTTGGCAGGCCATGGTTGCAATCTGCAGTAGGGTTGAGGTAGGGGTATCACACTCACATGTCCAGTCTGTGGCTGATCGCACAGGGGATCTGTAAGGTCCAGCCATAGCAGCCATCTCCAGTGTATACTGTCGCCCAGGGACCAGGCCCTCAAAGGTGACGTTCGTCCAGTTGTTCCCCACAGTCATGTTCCTGACCCGCTCCTGGGACTTGGTTTCCCGGAGGGTGCCGGTGTAGCCGGTGCTGCCAGTGGGAGCTGCTCTCCAGGAGGCTTGCAGAGATGTGCTGTGGCCCTGGTTGGTGAGGTTCAACTGCTCTGGAGGCAAAGGATCTAGGAAAGGAAAAGGTATAGAGTCAGAGCTGCACCTGGGTTGGGGTCATCTGGCAGAAGTGCAATCCCAGATGTGCTGGGCTGGAGCCCCTTCCCTGGGAAAACCCACATCCAGGTGCTCCGGCTGTGTGCGGGGTCTGAGCAGGCCACCGTCACCCCTGCTGACACCCACACACCAGTTTGGCAGGGCCTGGGCCAGCACGGAGTTCAAACTGGCATGGTGAGGGAGGGGCTGCTCTGGTGCTGGAGGAGGTGGTGGGTGGGATGGTCTGGGCCAGGGTGGTGGAGAGGTGGTTCAAGGCAGATGCAGCCTGAGCAGTGCCACAGGAGGGTGGCCCGAGGGAGGAAGAGGCGGGCACTGGGCTCTGCTGACCCTTGCGCTGGGTGATGGGGATGCAAACAAGGGTCAGGCCCCTCTGCTTTCCTCCTGAGCCTTTTGTGCTTTTATTGCACGAAGCTGCAGGAGGACCCGTGCTGTCACACGCCCCGAGGCACAAGATCCAGTGGGAAGCCCGGGGCCGGCTGCGATGGGGGCTGTGGCACTCACGTGTCCAGTTGGTGATGCGCCGGGCTGAGGACGTGTAGGGGCCAGCCACGGTGCTGACCTCAAAGGTGTAGAGGGTCCCAGGGCGGAGGCCCTCATAGGTGAAGTTGGTGACACCTCTGAGCAGCGAGCTGTTCCTCACAGGGTGCTCCTCAGGGCTGAGGGCCAGTGTGTAGCCCTCTCCCATGGCCTCCTCCCAGATGGCTACCAGGCTGTCGGGGCTGCCCTGGCTGGACAGACTCACAGCAGACGGTGCCAGTGGCTCTGCAAGGGACAAGGGTGGGATCGTGGATGTCACAGCGCAGCCAGGTTGCTCTCATGACACCCTCACTCAGGGATCCCACCACCAAACACAGGTAGCCAGGGCTGGGGGAGAGCCTTCTACTGCTCGGCATCAGGGGCTGGGCGAGTGCCTCCCTACACTGTTCAGCGCTCAGTCCTTCCTTGCCGGGGTGACAGCGCTGGGACAGCACCAGCTGTGGCTCCACGAGTCACCCAGGAGGGACTGGGCACAGGTAGAGGCTGCTCTGGGGGGACTGGTGGTGCTCCACGACCCACCAAACCGGCTGCTGTGAGCACAGGGAGGGGAAGCTGGCTTGGAGCCTGCTG